CTGAAAGCATGCTACTTATTTTAAGCCCAGAAAGAGAAGACTTAGGTTGGAATTAGGAGCTGTCTTCAACTTTTTGAACAACTATTTTATGAAAAAGATTTTAAACATGTCTTGCTTTGCTCTTGATATTTTACAAAGGTCAACAAGTAGAATTTGTAGAAAGAAAGATTTAGATTTGATATAAAAGGAGGCCTTCTGCACGCTAATAATTCTTTAGAGATAGAAAGGTCTGGTCCCACGGTTTACTCACTTTCACAGTCCCTCAAGTTATCCAAATACAATCTGGAAAAACACATGTCAGAGAAATTAGGCAGAAACTCGCAGTCTGCTGGAAGAGATGATTAAATACCGTCCAGGCTCCCTTCCAGCCCTGAGGTTATGATATTGTGAACCTTCTGTGAGATCAGAAGGTTCCAAAAGAGCTTTAAAATTATTAGGACATGGAGAGCATTTCTATAAAAAGTGATTCTTTTATTAAATTTGGTTCGTATTACACAGCATAAAGCAAAATGAAAAGGAAGTCTGGAGACATAGTTCTGTTCCAAACTCTCCAATAAATTCACTCATTCATAAATTCAAAATTTATTGAGTGCCTGCTATGTGTCAGGAATTTCTATAAGAAAAAATTTTAAAAAGGCATAGACTATGTAGCTTGTAGCCCCAAAGATGAGGCGGAAATTTCAAACAAACTAGTTTAATGCAACCTGTGAACTAACATAGGCTCACACCCTTACCATAGCAACACACAGCAAAGACAAGACCCTGAGAAGGAGTGGTAATGGATGTACAGAACACTCACAATATGAAACGAGATAGGCACAAACATCCCAAACAAGATATTTTAAGGAACCTGCATATCCCCAGATCATGGCATCTTTAGCATCCTGAACAAATCTTCCACAGTCATTGTGAGATGACTATAACAGGTTTCTTCTTTAAAAATAATGACCTATAAACATCATAGAAGAAAATACAAGTGGAAACTTAGATTTTCAAAGAAAAATGAGAGTGGCAATAATTTAATTGGCATTTGAAAGAATAACCAAGGGAATAGAGAGCGGAGGGAGGGCAGAGGGTGAAGGCGGGTGTTAGAGGCACGAAAATAGTAGCAGAGTATTGTGTGCATGTACAGGTGTGCCATACAAACTCATCATTTTGGATAAGAAATATATGCCAACAAAATAAATCATTTAAAAATACACTCAAGAAGAAAATAGAATCAATAGGGATTAATGTGTGAAGTGGTACCATTAAACAGAACTTCAGTGAACCTGTTATTTTGATACCAGTGGGATTATTCAAGACTAATAAAACAGAAATAGCAACTCTTTTTGGAGAAAAAATTTTTTTTAAAAAATACAAAACAATAAGCAATAACATCAACCCAAAAACTTCCCATGTTTAAAGGTGTCCAAGAACTAAATAAATGGACAAGCTAGGAGAAATGACTCTGGAGCTCAGTTGAAAGGTCTAAACTGGAGACACATATTTATAATTTTAGAATGTAAATATTTGAGTAATCTGGATATGGATTAGTTTGCCGTACAGGGAAGGTATAAAAATATTTGTAAAAGACTAACATCAGTAGACCTTATATCAGTAATAGAAAATACCTAATATGAAACAGTAGATAATTGATAGAATACCAAAACTTACTCTCCCCAAGAAAGCATTATGCTGATAGATCAGTTGATTTTCTAAATATATTTTAAGGGCCATGGAGAGAGCTTAGCCATCAAATTGCCTGCTTGGCAAGTGCAAGAACCTGGGCTCAATCCCTGGTATCACATATCCTCCGGCCAAGCTGGCTGCCAAACCAGGCATGGTGGCTCACACCTGTAATCCCAGTGCTGGGGAGGCTGACACAGGAAGATCATTATAAGTCTGATCTGCATAGAGAGACCCTGTGCCAAATAAATAAATAAATAAATAAATAAATAAATAAATAAATAGTAGCATAGATACATAGATAGAAAGATTTTTTTGAAGAACCTCAGTAGGTCAGAAAAGAATTGAAAATACTATCAGTGAAACCTAAGTGAAAGCAGAAGTCCAAATGCTGAATTGTTTAAAGTTATGTTCAGTAGAAGGGTATTTGCCTACCCCAGGTCATGCTTCAGCTGGTTTTCATCTCTTCTGAAGGCACAGGAGAAAAATGACAGCACCTTTAGCCACCCAATTGGGAAATTCCAGTAGTGTATTCATAGAAAGTTGAGCTCTCCTAAGTATTGCATTAAGGAAAGAGGCAGAAAAAAATTCGTCTCCTCTCAAAAAAGGCAGAGAGAAAGGAAATGCTCCATATTAAACTTTGAGCCTAAGTGCAAAGAGAGGCCAAAAAAATCTCCTTTAAGACTTTGTAAGCATAGCCCAGGCCTTACTCATGATACCTAGGTATTTCAGCAATCTCATACTGAGCAACTAGTCTCAAATAATCTACAACTCCAGAGAAAAGCAAAAAAAGCATAAAGTATCATTTTCTGGAATCCACTCACACAAGTCTTTAAGAAATCCTAGTGCTGTCTAGTAATATAAATTTACACCCTAAATCATAAAATCTACCAAAAAAAAGGTCTATGTGAAAAACAGCAAACAACACAAAATTACTGTACTTCCTATATCGGAATTATAATAAAATGGTTAAAATAATTGAACGAAATATTATGCAGTATGTATGTGCATTGAATACTACATGGTAACATGTTAATATGTATAGCTTTTATGGTTTTATGTACTAGTTAATTTTTTTGTGAATTGTATACACAAAAAGGAAAACTCTTAACAAATACAATTGGTAGCTGAATGTGATGGCAGAGAAAAATTACTAAATTTTCTAATAAATATATTATCAGAAATTTAATTATTAAATTTAATATATTAAATTAGACATTTTAAAATGTAAATAAAATAGTAATTAGAGTGAAAAATTCATGGAACACTTCCAATAATTTTGGCAAATTGAATCAAAACATCTACTCTCCCTTCTGAAACATTGTAACATGGCGAATAACCCCATAGGGACTGAAAACAAAGAAGAAATGCCAATCATGATTTTGGAAGCTGGAAAATAGCTAAGGAAATGGGCAAAGAATTGTGCGAAGAACATGGACTTCACAGTTGCAAATGCAGAGATCAGACAGCTAATGTGCTTTCTGTTTCATAATTCCCAGAGACCCCTAGAACTTGCCATACCACTAACCCATGAAATACATTGATGAGAGGCATGAAACAATGAAGACTTGTTCAAATTTTTAGGAGCCAGCTAGACTTTCCAGATTTCATTTTTATTCTACATGGCTGCCTTTCTTTAAAAGACATTTGAGTCTCTTAACTGAGGATATTAAACAGAATTGAAGGTAGCACAATGTTTTAAAAAGCAAGAAAGCTCTCGACTTTAACGCCATCTTCTTAGGAACCTCTGCGCCCTGAGAGCCAAGTGGAGGAAGAAGCGAATGCGCAGGCTGAAGCGTAAAAGAATAAAGATGAGACACAGGTCCAAGTAAAATAGCTCGTACACCCATGGAGGCCAAAGGAGCAGAAAGAATGCTGGAGACTGACAATGCTCGTGCAAATTTTGGACTGCATGCTGGATTAGAACTTCATTGCCATCGGATCGCCAACACCACCTCAAGAGATCCACCTGGTTCCAACTAAGCAGTCTGCTGTTTTGTTTGTTTGTTTGTTTGTTTTTTGTTTGTTTTGTTGTTGTTGTTGTTGTTGTTTTGCCCCAGACCTGTGGCATTCTGGACTACTACTGCTCTTTCTTTTGGCTGAGTGTAAATTGTGTACAATAAATCATCTCTTCTGTGTTAGCTGAAGAATCAAAAATAAATAAATAAATAAATAAGCATGAAAATTAATTGAATTTAAACACAACATGATGTCTGTCTCAGTTTCCTGCTTTCCCACCCAACCTTCTACCTTTTTTGTTCTACTTGGCTTCTGGAATGCTACCATTTAGGTCTTGACTTTTGTTTTTTGTTTTATTTTTATTCAAAAACAGAGTGACAAATGCCAATATAACCATAGAAAATATAAAATAAATTATTTTTGATAAGGAAGGATTAAGAATGGAGAGACTCTAAGAACTGCTATTTTCATCATTTGTAGAATCATTTGATATGAACATTTATTAATTAGATAAAAACAGTAAAAATGTGAAATGACCCTGAATAGACAGGTTTAGTGGTTGATTCAACCAACTGAGATGACAAAAGAAGTACTAAACAAGGAACTAAATCTAAAGAAATTAATCAAAATGTAGTACAGAGAGACAGCAAGATAAAGAGATTATAGATAGATATAGATATAGATATAGATATAGATACACATCTGACAAGGCCTACTCATAATGCTGCCTTGGAGTCTGTCCCACAAAAAAAAAAAAATCAAAAAACACAGAAATATAATAAAAGGGGGGTAATATTTCAAGCAACAATGACTGGATTTTCAGGAACAT